GGAACCAGAAGCTTCTTAGAATCAGGGATAGTGAGACTCAGTGTCACATTTTTTTTTTTACACACTATCAGGAAATTGTCACTGGAAAAAGGCATCACATTTAGAAAAGTAGGGGTCAGTGAAAGAGAGGAAGTCCTTCTATGAAGTGTATTCCCACTGTGATTACCACAGTGGGCTTAAGTACAAGAGAAATTGAGGTGTTGGCTCACGACTGGTGGGCTTCCGTCTTTCGTAGGATCTCTGTGGATTGATGCCATCTTAAAGGTGCCTAGAAACAACAGGAAGTTTAAGTCCTGAAACGTTGTGCTTTGTTTTTTACTAATTTCCCCCCACAGACATATCTCTGTGAATGAAAGGATCATGTGAAGTGCATAGGTCTCCCCCAACTTTCCTGTTGCCGGAAAGCACCTCAAGCACTCCAGGGGTCAGGCATGAGTTCTCCAACAACCTACGAGTTTGCACCAGTTTCCAGGAGAACCTCAGGTTTGTTCACCTGGTCAGCAGGGCCACTGTCACACCCCCTGCCTCTCAGGTGGCCAGTGTCCACTTTGACAAAGGAAGTTTCTGAGCTTTTCAGAATAGAAAGCAGGTGGTAGCTGCAGACGACATAGGTGTTTCCTAGATCACACCAAGAGCCAGGCCTTTCCTGCTTTGCTGATGTCCCACCCCCACCCCCCACACACACATTGGCGCTCTCTGTGTCTCCCACAAGCTCAGAGGTAGAGCTGAATGCGTACCCCAGATGGAAAGAATGATTCCCCTCCCCCAGTGTCTTCTGCAGTCAATTAGCTGGACTTCTACAGACTTTAACGAGAATAAGCCCTCAGCTCTCCTGGGAACCTGCGTATAACCCCGTCCCACTGTATTATATGTTTGTGTTAAAACACCCGTGAGAGAGATCAGCACACGTGAACAAACAGACATGGAGAAAAATTAAATACTTGTGACATTTTTATGAGTCTGCATGTGTGTTTGCGTGCTGTAAGAGCAATTATGTCTCCACGAAGCCGTGGGGATTTAGGGCTTTCGGGATAGGATTTTCCCCTAACCCTCGCAGTTCTACAGAGAAAGCCTTCTTTATGACAAGGCAGACAGAGGTGAGCGATTTGGGGCACATTTGGTGCACGGAGATTGCTCTGTGTTCACCATTGATGCAAATCCCTCCAGGAAATGTTACAATTCTATAAACACTGAAATACTAATATCTCATAGGTTCACAGAAATTGGGGAGGGATAGCAAAGCTGACACCTCCTAGGGCCCCTGGGAATGGAAATGTGCTGTGTGGCCTGATCATTGGGTTGCTCACCTGCACCTGCTCCCACTCTCAGCCTTGCTGGCTTGGGGAGCCTCTCTGTCAGTCGCAGGACTTGAATTCAGGCCTTGACCAAGCCACGGCTTCCCGATATGACATGTCTGCTGGCGGGGCACCGTGTGAGGTGTGCGGACAGGTCTGCTCAGAGAAAACTTGGCGTGGCCAGCACTCACATCGTCTTCCTCCCGCAGACCCGGCGTCTCCTTCTGAGTTCTTGCTGCGGAGGTCATGTTCACTTAATTGCTGTCTGGCCCCTGGCAGAAACCCCATGGAGAGAAAGGACGACTGAGAATATGTTGCTCAGCCCCTGGTATTTAAGCTGTATTCTTGGGCCAACCTTCGGGACCTAACAAGACCCCCATTCAGTCTCTGTGACTTAACCCTCCCAGAACCGCCTTCCTTGAGTTCTGTTGACTGTGGTGTGCTTGTGTGGACCCGGGACATTATTGCAGCTTCTGTTCACCTGAGAAGACACCCTCATGCGTTTCTGATGGAAGGGAACTGGCTGAGTTTTTGGAATTAGAACAGTCCTTCAGAGGGACCTGTGAATGGGATTGAATGCTAGACTTCTAAGGAAACAGCTTCAATATATAACCATTTGTGCCACTCAGGGACTCCTGTTGCTTAAATGTTGAATTCTTGATATAAATTCCAATTTTAAAAAACAGGCTTTTTAACAACTTTTAAATTGTGATCTGAGTGAAAGTTTACACAACACACTGCTTTATCATTCATGCATTCATACATATTTTATTTGTAACATTATAGTATCCATAATCTACTTTGAAATATTTTTCATTTTAGTTTATTTAACATGATTCTTTATATTTCATGATAAAAGCTTTTAAACAATTTAGTAACAGGAAGAGCTTTAAGGATGAGGACACAGCCACAGTTCTTTTTTTCACCAACCTCTGAGCCAGTGCTTAGCAATCCTTTCCATTTGGAAGATGCAGCTGTGGATTTAGTGATTTCTGACTCCATCCTGAATAGAAATTGTCATCTTATTATCATAGGTATTAAATTTTAATATAGTTTAACAATATTATTTATGCTCATTACAACTTTGAAACTAGGTATTCCTAGTTACCATATTTGCCTTTGTTGTAATTGTATACCTTCAAATTGGAACTGACCCATGGTGACCTTCCAGTGGATTTTCAGAGACAGTAAATCACATGGGAGGATCGTCTATCTTCTCTCGTTTTACCGTTGTTGTTAGGTGCCATTGAGTTGCTTGGGACTCATAGCCACCTTATGTACAGCAGCTTTGAACCCTGCCCTGGCCAGAGTCAGTCTCACTAATTCCGACACACCAACCCCCATCACCCCAGTTACTGCATCACTTCTTCTCATCCAGGGTCTTCGTATCCTGCTCTGTCCCTCCACCCTTCCGAGCATGGTGTCCTCCTCCAAGGATTGATCACTCCTGGCAATGTGCCCAAAGTATGTGACACAGAGCTTCAAAATCCTAGACTCCAAGGAGAAACTTGGTTTCACTCTCTGTCTAGGACAGACCTGTTTATTTTCTTGGAAGTCCATGGTATGGTCAGGACTTCTCCAGCACCAGAATTGGAAGGCATCGATTTTTCTTCTGTTGTTTTTAGTCACTGTCCACCTCTCTGATGTATGCCAACTAATTGTGAAAACCATGGCCTGGATTAGGCACACCTCAGTCTCTAGACTGACATCATTGCTTTTCTAGAAATACAGCGTCTCTTGGCACGTGCTTGAATTCCCGCAGTGTCACTTCCTGGTTGCTTTCCGCAGCGCTCATGGCCGCATGGTGAGGAGTTGTGCAGAGAACAGCTGTAGAGGCTGCATTCACCTCTGCCACCTGCTGTGCAGGAGAAATAGGGACTCTCCTCTCATGGGCTTTAAAGCAGCCGGAGGGTCAGATAGGAATCGCTCCCGACTTGATGGCACCTAACAGCCACCGCCCTTCAAGCTGTCTAGCCTGAGAACTGCGTGGGGGGACCTTTTGGAGGGGGATAGACATGGTGGTGGTGGCTTGGGTTAAAGGAGAACCTTCTTGACTCCAAAGAGCCCTGGTGGCACAGTGCATAACATGAAATCCCGCTAATTGAAAAGTTGGAAGTTCGAATCCCCCTGCTTCTCTGTGGGAGAAAGTTGGTCAGAGGTTTGTATCCTCGGGAAACCCACAGGAGGTCGCTCTTGTAACTGCCTCTCCTGCAGTGGAGTTGGGCAGTGGTGGCGTACGCTTCCTTCCTGGAGTCATTTCCACCCTGTTTTCTTGTTTGGTGGTCCCGAGCCCCTCCTGTGGTGGAGAGTTCACTGCCCCAAATACTCCCTAACCCGCCTCTGGAGCTTGACGAAGTCATGTGTGTCTGTAGCTCGGTCACTTCATCTATCTGATGAAAATCACAGCTCCCTTACAGGACCTTTGGGAGAATTTCATGAACTCCAGTGTCTGGGAGCGCATTCCAACATCTAAGTGAGTTACGGTTCCTTGGATCTCCCTGCGTTCTATCTTATCAGTGGTCCTTAAGATCCCTTAACAGTTTCTTTATATCCCAGCATCTCAAATTAATGGTAGTTTGTTGGGTTGGTCCCCCCACCCCCACCCCTTTAAATTTGTTTTCTTGTCTACTACTTGTTCATTGCTATGCAGACTGAGTCAAAGAAAATTTAGCTATCCCAACCTTAGCCACCAAGCTAATCTTCAAAACAGCTTGGCCATTTCTTTATAATCTGATTGGCCCACTAACACGTCGTCTTCTCCCATCAGAAATGACGTTCTTGACATCGATACGTTCTCAGACTTCACCAACAGGAGATATTTTTGAGGCTTATAATCAGTTACGGAGTGCGGTTGTCAGTAATTTTTTCCTCCAAAAATGAATCCTAAACCCAATCAGAGTAGCATCGCAAATGAGTCCTTGTTCCGAAGTGCACCCCTGGAATGGGTGTGCTTGATGCTTGTGGACTTTTGAGGTCAGTGAAGGTCGTGTGTTAGTCTGCGAGCCGGTCATCCTTCCAGCCTGCTGACCTGCATGCGTTCCGTGTCCAAATCAGCGTGAAATGATGGTGAACCAGAGGCAGCTTTACCAAGGCCAGCAGGTTGTGGGGTTTGCTCAGTTTTCTACTGATGTGGACACGCCTAAACTACACGCCCTGGAAACTCTATGAACTTTGAGAAACAATGAAGTTATTGGAAGGCTTAAGGTCTTTTGTTCATAGGGTCGCTATGAGTCGTGTTTGACTCAATGGCAATCAACAACAACACAATATATAGAGGTAGAACATCTGCATAGACACTAAACGCACGTTTATATATAGAAGAGGGTTAACAGAATGTGCAGATAAATGCAGCACATTTTAAAAATGTCAGCATCAATTGTCATTAATGTTACAGAACAAAATTTCTATGAACGATTAGATGATAAACCAGTATGATTTATAAAGTTCTACGCAAATAAAAATAAATAAATGCTAACAACGTGCAATCCTAGGCAAAAAAAGATATGCAGGCACTGTTTAGACCGTTTGTGTTCTTACAGCTTTTCTGTAAGCTTGAAATGACTGAGCCATTGATTCAAAGTGCAGGGTCTCAGTGGAGCGAGTGCTGGTTTCTCAGTAAATGTTCCTTTTCTTGTCTGCCCATCCTTCCTTCCTTCTTTCCCTGTTTCCCGCCTCCTGCCTTTCCTCCCCCTTTGCCCATCACAGCCGAAGCCCAAGGCTTGCGAGAAGGTCATCGGCGTGGGCCAGACGGTCATCTCAAAGCATCGGAACACGCGCTATTACAGCTGCAGCGTGATTGCCGTGACGTCGCAGACCTTCTATGAGGTGATGTTTGACGACGGCTCGTACAGCCGGGACACGTTTCCTGAAGACATCGTGGTGAGTGCTCCCCCGGGGCTCCTGCTGACTGGTCAGCTGCTCCATTTGGCCTCTTCTCAGGAGCCTCTTGGTGTTACTAGTCCCGTTGGCTGTCTTCCCATGGCAGCGGAGTGTTTGCCCAGGAGCTTCCCTGCCCTTCAGCATCCTACCTGCTGTCCAGGTGCACACAGACTAACCTTCCTACGGTCACTGAATGAAATGGGCGTTGTGTGTGGTCAGGAAACCAAACACAGACCCCTCTTTTTCCGCCATTATCCAGTGTCTGCATTTTAGGGTCCTTTACGTCCTCCTCCTCTTCTCTGTGTATCACTGGAGAAGAGGCATCTATGAATGTGACCTTGTGCATGTTTAACTGGGTATATTTCCATGTGGGGGTAAGAATCACACAGAAGGCTTGAACTGCCAACTTCGGCTAGCAGCCAAATTCTTTTAACTATCATATCACCAGGGTTCTCTATTCTACGACTATATTATTGTTGTTGTTGTTGTTGTTATGTGCCGTCGAGTCGTTTGCGACTCATAGCGACCCTATGCACAACAGCCCTAAACCCTGCTCTATCCTGCACCAACCGCACTGCCTCTGACACACCCATCCCGATTACCCCAGTCACTGAGTCAATCCATCTCATAGAGGGTCTTCCCCTCCTGCGCCTTCCCTCCACCCTCCCAAGCATGATGTCCCTCTCCAAGGACCCGTCCCTCCTGGCAACATGTCCAAAGTATGTCAGACGAAGCCCCAGAATCCTTGCCTCCAAGGAGTAGCTTGGTTTAATCCTCTCCAAGATGAATCTGTTTGTTTTCCTGGCACTAGAAATTAAAAAATCCCCCTACTTTAGCATAAACTCGGTGCTGTCAAACAAAAGCTTTCCTTTCCCTCCGCTGTCAACCATTGGTAGTCTTTGGTTTCTTCATATTATCTCATGTAAATGAGATAACACAGCATTTGTCCTCCTCGGGTCGATGTGATTCTGACGACTCACCTGTGCTGTGTCCCCCGTGTCTTTGCTGGTCTGGTGACTGTGGAGCAGCCGTCGTGTGCATGGCGTGCCTCGCCTACCCAGGGGAGCCTTGGTGGGCGTGTGCTGGTTGTTCCACCTGTTGGGACAAGCACGCACATGAACGTCGGCATATGAAGCTTGTCTAGGTGACTCCTTGTTGTACCGTCAGGTCGGAACCAGCCCGTAGCCGACCCTCCAGCGGGTTTTCTGAGGCAGTTACTTACATGGAAGGAAATTGCCCATCTTTCTTCTGTGGAGCAGCTGGTAGAGCCTAACCATGTGCCTTCAGGATTGCAGCGCAGATTCTTACTGCTAAGAATAATTATGTGTTAGGTTCCATTGAAAATTCAGTGCAGCCTTAGGAGCATGTTTCTGTATATTTCTAGAATTTTGCCTTCCTGGGGTTGAAGAAGCATTTTTCTTGGGTTGGTTTTGTTAGCCAGACTCCTGTCTGCTGGTAAGAGGGACCTCTTGCCACGTGACTCTCTGGGAAAGAGCGTATCACACTTGATCACCCACCAAGGTAGTGAATTGTCCTATAGAGTCCTAGCTGGAACATGTCGCCTCTGTCTTTCCTGATTATTTCCCGAGTGTCCTCCTACTAGAAGGAGCCATGCCTTCAAGGTGAAGGTCAAGTGCTCTGCTAACTAACTGGAAAGTTGGTGGTTCAAATCAAATCCACTCAGGTCCTCTTGGGAGAAAGACCAGAGCTCCTGGGATGAAAGCCCATGTTGCACATTTTGACGCCAACATTGGCTCGCCGTGCGCCAGAATCCTCTCAGCAGTAACGGGGTTTGCGGTGCTCTTTGGGACACTTGGCTTCTAATTCAAAACACGAGCAAATTCTGGACATTGGTAGTTCCTTCTACACCCCTCGCCGTTGAATGTTTTCTTGGCATGTTTTTAGTGCGTACTCGGGGAATCACTGTCTGTGATCCTGGTATTTTACTGAAATTCCTCGCGTCTTTCCTTTGCCATCTTCCAGTTCCCTGTGTTTGCCACACTGTGGGATTCTAAGCGTGTGCTGCTGTGTGCGACAGGCACAGGCGCTGGAGTGTAGAAGATGAGGCTGTGCACCCTGGCGTTCCAGTCAACAACGTGAACACGCAGAATCCCCCAGGCCTGGAGTAGCTGTAACTTAGCTTGTTTGATAAGGATTGTAGGTTCGGCAGTCAGACCCTGTGTGTGCACATGGCTGTGGAGGTCAAGGATGGGTTGGCAGAGGCTGGAGAGAAGGCACCTCCTTGTATTGTGTGGATGATTTTTTTCTTAGTAAAACGAGAAGACCCACAGCCGACCTCCCTGCGTGTTGTGAGGTGGCAGCCTCGGGAGGACTCCACTATTGGCTATGACAAGCTTCGAGCTCAGCACCTTTCTCATGTGGGCTGTTGCAATGGCACCAGGCAAATGACAAAGTTTAAAAAAATAAAATGTTTTTCAGTTGTTGAAAGTGTACAGAATGAATGAAGTGTCTCCTGATTCCACAGCCCTCCACGTGGCCCTGTGACGTGGATTCCGTCCGTCACGTTGGGCACCCATCCTCACCCCTCTTCTCTGAGTTGTTGTCCACCTGAGTCCATGCAGTTACGGGTTTTCTTTAAAAGCACATTGGTCATGACATGCATTCTTTACCAACTGGTTAAGGCAGCTATGCTTGGTTTAAAGAAGCCTTCAAGGGATAGGTTTGCTTTAATGTTTATTTTAGGGCAATAGCTTTTTGGAAATTCATCCAGCCTCCATGGCTCTAGAAACTCTGGTTTCCCTGAGAAGCAAATTTTTGGTTTTTAGCAATGAAAATAGAGACATAATTTAAAAATATTAAATGTTTTCAAGTTTAGAATATCAAGTATAATCATCCTAAAGTATGTGACATGACTACCGTCTTCTCAAAGCATTTTCCTCTTAAAAAAAAAAGCTGTGTTCCTTAATTCTAGAATTAGTAACTATAAGTCATCTGACCAACCCAATAAATACAATCCGTCTGGTTATACAGCCTGTCCGTATTTTAGAATAAATTTGCCAGACATCAAATTGCCTGTGTTGGGATTATGTGACCAGTGAAGGTATTAGGAGCAATGGGGAATAACACCCTTTGGACAACCAGAAAATGCCTGTCCACGGCTAAGTACTTCATTTCAGTGCTAGCCAGAAAATACCCCAAAACTGTTCTCCCCACAATGCACTGGCCGAACGTGCACATCGACCCAGTTAAGCTCTGCATGCAATCTGCAGCTGTCAGCAGACGGAGTGGAAGATGTATTGTTCGAGCCGCTCTCTGCCAGTCTATGAAATTGTGGCTGCCTCCCCGCACATTCGTTCTTGTCTCCACTCTTGCTGGGAGCGCACGTTTGGGTGTTGAGCAGTCAGGGCGTATCGCACTCAGAGTACTCTCCTGGTCTTGGTGCAAACCTGGGGTCCTCTCAGGGCCTGTTCTCAGCAGAGTGTTGACTGTTGGAGTGTGTGTGTGTCTCCCCGCCGTCGCTCCCTGCCCCATTTCTCCTCCTCATACTGAGAACTCATTTCCATGGGGAGGATGTGCAGTGAGAAGTCCCTGTAAGTGCTCAGGGATAAGCACTTAGCATTCACCACTGGTGTGGGAAGAGAAACAGGCCCATTTACAAAGTCGACAGCAAGAGTCCATCACGGACGTTTCCGTGCGGACACACTCCATTTTTCAGCATCTGTTGAAATGTAAGTGCATCCAAGGTGCCCCCAAGGATCCCATCTCATCTGCCCCAGGCTCCGCTCACTGAGGCCCTCGCTGATGCTTTTCTCTCTGCTGTAAGCAGATTGCTTTACTTAGAGCTTTACTTTAGAGCCTTGGAGTGTTTCCACTGAGAAGGAATAAGAATTCTGCTCCTAGGTTTGTTGAAAGGGCTGAATGAGCTGAGGGCTCCTGTTGTTGTTAGTTGCCATGGCGATGACTTCCTTTCCCAGAGCCTCATGCATCTGAGATGAAGGTTTGTCTGGTCCCCAGTCGTCCTCCCGGGCCTTGGTATGTTTGAGTTCATTGTTAGAGCCCTGCATCAATCCACCATGACAATGGTTTCCGGCTTTTTCATGGACTCTCTATCAAACTTGATGGCCTTTTTAATTGATTTCTTGATAATGTGTTCCAAGTGAGGAGGCAAAGTCTCGCCATCCAAGCTTCTAAGAAACATTCTGGTTGTATTTTTTTAAGGATCCCCACCCTCCCCCACACCCCTTTTCCTGGTACTTACTGTGTAGTGACTATTCTTTGCCAGCGCCACAGCTCGAATGGCGCAGCTCTTCTCCGGTGGTCTTTTTGCATCGTCCAGCTTCTGTGTGCGTTCGAGGCAGTTGAAATGACCATGATGTGGGCCATACTCAAGATAGTTCTCAGAGAGACAGGCTTGGTTCAAGCTGAAGGGCGTTCCCTTGCAGCACATTTGCCTAATGCTCTATGTTGTTTGGCTCATTTCTCCACTGAAGCTTGTTTTTTAGGCTGTCAGCTGGAGTCTGCAAAACCCTGTAGTTGGTCCTCCACTTCTCCTTTAGCTTGCTCTGCCATGGTCATCGGAATTGGCATGGACGCTGCAGCCCTGCTCCTTAGGGGAGGTGGGTGCTTGTAGGAGAGCTTCCTGAGTCAGCAGATGCTTCCTGCTTTCTGTGGCTCCACCACCTCCCCGCAGGCACTCTGGTGGCTCCTTGTGCCCCACTGCACCTCCTTCCATCCAGATTAGCAGCCCTGGGAGCGCAGTGGAGGGATCAACTCAGTGGTCGTGGGGAGGTTGTTTCTCTCCTTTTTTTTCTGACTCCGTAGTGATCATTATCATCCTTTCCATTCATGTTTACATTTTTCATTTCTATGCACTTGCTGTGAAGGGTCAAGGACTGCAGCCTTCAGTATGGACTGAGGCTCAATGTCAAGAAGACAAAGATTCTCACCACTGGACCAATTGGCAGCATCAGGATGGATGATGAAGAGATTGAGATTGTTCACAGCTTCAGTTTGCTTGGCTCCACAGTCAACACTCTTGG